CTGTTTCACATTATCTATTATACATTTTGATTCTTATTTACACTTTCATTTTCTCACAGGAGAAACTTCAGTATTTACACATGTGTCCTATTTATTTCACTTAAGAGTATGGTGCATCCATTTAGCTATAAATAACTCTAGTTTCTCATTCTTTATGGCTGACTAGTACTTCATTTTATTAAAAAAACCACATCTTCTTTATCCAGGCTCCAATTGATGGGCAATTGGGCTGTTTCCAAGTTTTAGCTATTACAAACTGTGCTATAAACATGGGTGCACGTATATCTCTGTGGTATGATTCTTTTAATTCTTTTGGGAAGATACCCAGCAGGGGAATAGCTGGGTCAAATCGGTCCTCTAGTCCTAGTTTTTTGAAGTATCTTCATACTGATTTCCACAGTGGTTGCAGTCTACACTCCCAGCAACAGTGAAGAAGGGTTCCTTTTTCTCCACATCCTTGTCAGCATTTGTTATTAGTTGATTTCTTAATTAAAAATACTGTTATTGGGGCGGGGATTTAGCTCAGTGGTTTTGTCGCCTGCTGCGCAAGTGCAAGGACCTGAGTTTGATCCCCGGTACCAAAAAAAAAAAAAACTGTATTTTAAAAATTAGGTGGGCTAGCTCTTTAGGTAATGAAACTGAAGCCCTTAGTGGCTAAGTAGCTTTCCCAAGTTCATACAACTAGTAAGTGATAGAACCAGGATTTAACTGGTTTCAGAGCTCCTATTCCTTTTTTTTTTTTTTTTTTGGTACTTGGGACTTTGAGCTTTCAAGGCAGGCGGTGGCACCACTGAGCTAAATCCCTGGCCTCCAGAGTTCCTATAATTAACAAACATACTGAAAGAAGAATGAAGAGGGGCTGCCTCTTGATTTTAAGTACATAATGCTTTAAAAACATGAGTGTGGGCCCGGGGATTTACCCCAGATGTACCCAGTGCATGAATCAGCAGCTAGACCAGTGGAAAAGAATGTAAAAGTCCATAAATAAATTCAAAATACAATAGGGGAATTAAAACAAAATTTTTTTTCGCATTAAACTTTAATGGATCTCAAAATTCTGTGACAGATTTTTGGTCAAGTTGCTTCCATTAAAAAGTATTGATTTTAAAAACTAGTAACTTAAAACTGCCACACACACAAAAAAATAAATGCTCCACAAAACATTCTCCTCTCCTTCGGAAGCTTTTACAATGCACTGCTATCATTAACTAGTCTTTTTTTTTTTTTTTTGGTACCGGGGATCGGACACGGGTCCTTGCGCTTTCGGGGCAGGTGGTAAACCACTGAGCTAAATCCCCGGCCCCACCAGTCTTTTATTATTAAACTTAAATGGACCATTGGGAGAAACAGCTCTGAGACCTGTCTTCTGCCACTGATTAAGACTGGGGTGGCAGGTGTTAGGGCAGGTAGGTGTTAGCCTTCTGAGCTTTCTGGGTAGACTTGGTGACCTTGCCAGCTCCAGCAGCCTTCTTGTCCACTGCTTTGATGACACCAACAGCAACTGTCTGTCTCATATCTTGAACAGCAGAACATCCCAGAAAAGCTCTTGACACACATGGGCTTGCCTGGAACCATGTCAATGATGGCACATCACCAGATTTCAATAATTTGTGGCCATCTTCCAGCTTCTTACCAGACTGGCAATGAATCTTTTCTTTTAGCTCAGCAAACTTACAAGCAATGTGAGCTGTGTGGGAATCCAGTACAAGGGCATAGCCAGCACTGACCTGGCCTGGATGGTTCAGAATAGTGACCTGAGCAGTAAAACCGGCTGCTTCCATTGGTGGGTCATTTTTGCTGTCACTAGCAACGTTGCCTCTACGAACATCTTTGACAGACACATTCTTGACATTGAACCCATATTGTCTCCAGGAAGAGCTTCACTCAAAACTTCATGGTGAATTTCAACAGACTTTATTTACCTCAGTTGTGACATTGACTGGTGTGAAAGTGACCACCATGTGAGGTTTGAGAACATGTCTCCACTCAGCCCACAGGGATGGTATCAATACCACCAATTCTGTAGACATCCTGGAGGGGCAGCCGCAAAGGCTTGTCAGTTGCCAGAGTGGGTGGTACAGTGCAATCCAAAGCTTCCACTGGCATCGCCATCTTTACGAGTGACCTTGCATCCCTTGAACCAAGGCATATTAGCACTTGGCTCCAGCATGTTGTCACCATTCCAATCAGAAATTGGCACAAAAGCTACTGGGTCAGGGTTGTAGCCAGTTTTCTTAATGTAGGTGCTGACTTCCTTAACAATTTCCTCGTAACTCTTCTGGCTGTAGGGTGGCTCAGTGGAATCCATTTTGTTAACACCAGCAATGAGTTGTTTCACACCCAGTGTGTAAACCAGAAGGGCACACTCACGGGTCAGCCCCTTCTTGGAGATACCAGCTTTGAATTCAACATCAGCAGCAACAATCAGGACAGCAGTCAGCCTTAGATGTGGCTGTAATCATGTTTCTGATAAAGTCTCTGTGTCCTGGGGCATCAATGGTAGTCACATAATACTTGCTGATCTCAGTTTCCACAGGGAGATGTCAATGGTGATACCACACTCAAGCTTGGCTTTAAGTTTATCCAAGACCCCGGCATACTTGAAGGAAACCTTCTCCATCTCAGCCTCAAATTTTTCAATGGTTCTTTTATCGATGCCACATTTGTAGATCAGATGGCTGGTAGTGGTGAACTTGACCGAATCCACATGTCTGATGATGACAATGTTGATATGAGTCTTTTCCTTTCCTGTGTTGGCTTTTAGTGGTGGTTTTCCGAAAAAGCACAATCAGGGAATTTAATATATGAAAAAGGTGACATTTCAAATTAGGAAAAGGGAGAATTTTCAATAAGTGGTAGTGACAGCTCAGTTGCCCCCTGGGAAATGCAACAGTATACCACATGTAATTAATATTAAGACAAAACAAGCTTTTGAATATTACTTGATACCAAGTTTCTGGGAAGTCTGAAAAGTCCCTTGGAGAGAGGGGCCAGGCTCTCGATTATTTCCATGCTATGACCCAAGAGGCCACTGTCCTCAAGATAAAGAGCCCTTTTAACTTTACTGTCCTCAGCTCGTGGCATAGAAAGTAATTGATAAATATTCGATGAAAATATAAAATGGGGCATGTCCATAATCTAATTCCTTTCTCACACTTTGAAAAGCAGTATGTCTGAGGGTGTAGTTCAGTGGTAGGGTTTACCTAGCATGTGCAAAGCTCTGGGTTTTATCCCAGTACTGCAAAAAGAAAGACCAGGAAATACCTAATCACAATAATGGAGCAACTAGACATCCATAGAAAAAAAGGAACTTGGCCCATGTAAAAGATCTACACCTTATACAAAAATTAGCTCCAAATGGATCACAGACTTAAATATAAACTTATAAAACTTTCAGAAGTTTCAGTGAGACCCTGTGTCAAAATAAATTGAAAAAAAAAAAGGCTGGAGATATAGCTAGCGCTCTGGGGCTCAATCCTGGAACCACATGTGTGTGCACATACACAAAGACACGAATACTACTTCAGTGAAATGTCTGCACTGATGGCAAATGAGCATATGAGATGTTCAACATAATTAGCCATTAAGGAAGTGTGAAAATGACTATAAGATCACTATGCATTTCTTTAGGATGCAAAAACAACATGCTTATGAAAATGCAGAGAAAATCAGTTGTATATTGCTGGTACAACCACACTGGAAAACAATTTAGTGGCAGCTTTAAAAATGAAACATGGGAGGGCCAGGGATTTAGCTCAGTGGCACCCTGCCTGCCTGGCAAGCACAAGGTCCTGAGTTTGATTCCCAGTACCTGGAAAACAACAACAACAAAACAACTAAACATGCAACTAGCATATGACCCAGTAATTGTACTCCTGGGCATTCATCCTAGAGGGGTACATACAAGTGGCCTGAATAAAATGTTCATAGCAGCTTTTCATAATAGCACCAAACTGGAAATGACCCCCAAATCCTGCAACAGGCAAATGGTTAAACAAAATGTGGAATATCTACATTGTGGAACCATACTGCTCAGCAATGAAAAAGGAACAATTCTTCAGCAATCTGGATGACTCTCCAAAGGATTATGCTGAGTGAAAGAAGCAAATCCCAAAAGGTTATATACCATATAATTCTATGTATATACCATTCTTTTTTATATATAAAAAGAATGGTATATATATCAGTTTTGAAGGGATGAAATTAGAGAAATCTAGGGTCTGGTTGCTAGGAATGAAGGAGAAAGCGGGGTAAAGGAAGAGAATTGGTATGGCTACAAAAGGACAAACGAATTCTGGTAGTGGTGGGATATTCTATATTTTGACTATCAATGTCAGTATTCTGGTTGTGAGATACTGCAGTTTTGCAAAAGGAAACTGGGTACACAGGATTGCCAGTACTTTGCGGGGGGGGGGTGTGTTGAGACAGGCTCTCACTATGTAGTCTAGGCTGGCCTCCAACTTGCTGGAATCCTCCTGCCTCAGCTTCCCGAGTGCAGGGATTACAAGTGTGTGACATCACGCTCGGCTCTCCCTATACTGCTTCTTACAAAACTGCATATGAATCTACAATTGTCTCAAAATTGTTTACTCTTAATACAATCGAGGGCTGGAGATTTAGCTCAGTGGTGCCGCGCGAGATCCTGGATTCGATCCCCCCACCCCGACCCCAAATCAAGCCGGGTTCAGGTTTTCTGTGCTCCGTACACACTGGCATTCTTCCACATATCCCTATCTACTAGCATATGCTCTTCTCATCTGAACTGTGCTACCCTCACCCATTTAACTCCTTTTTATCCTTCGGATCTGACTGAAGCCTCAAATGGTTAGGACAGCTTTCCCCAACATCTAAGTCAAATACTCATTATTACACGTCCACGTTTGTCTGCGTGAGTACTTGATTAATGTGTTTCCCCTCCAGACATGTAGTTACACCAAGAACAATCCCAGTCTCAAGCAGTATTTTGAATTAAAGGAACAAAGGCTGAATGGACGCCCATCCCAACATTATGCTTCCGACAGGGCGTGTCGTAAGGCGTCGCGCGTCGTAAACGTTACTTCCTCCCGGAAGACGCTCCGGGTGAACCACTCAAGTTTCCTGTCAGTTTTCAGAGCGTCTTCTTCGGTAACATGGCCCTACCGCCCTTCTTCGCCCCGGGTCGCCCTGGCCCGCTGCCCCCGCAGCCGCCGCCTCCTTCTCCCTTCGGCTGTCCGCCACCGCCGCTGCCCTCCCCGGCTTTCCCGCCGCCCCTTCCCCAGCGACCCAGCCCTTTCCCGGGGGCCTCTGCCCCATTCCTCCAGCCTCCCCTGGCTCTGCAGCCTCGGGCTCCCGCGGAGGCCTCCCGACGCGGCGGTGGCTGTGGCGGTGGCAGTGGCGGCGCCTTCTACCCGGTGCCGCCCCCGCCGCTGCCTCTGCCGCCGCCCCAATACCGGCCCTTCCCGGGTACCGACGCCGGCGAGCGTCCGCGGGCACCGCCTCCAGGCCCAGGACCTCCCTGGAGCCCGCGCTGGGCAGAGGCTCCGCCACCTTCCGATGAGCTCGGGGACGCGGCTTTGCAGCGCCTGCGCGACCGGCAGTGGCTGGAGGCTGTGTTCGGGACCCCGCGGCGGGTGGGCTGCCCGGTGCCCCAGTGCGCGCCACCCCGGCCCAGCCTGGGCGAGGTGCGCGCGCGGCTGCGCGGGGCTCTGCGCCTAGTGCGGCGGCTGCGCGGCCTGAGCCTGGCCCTACGCGAGGCCGAGGCGGATGGGGCGGCGTGGGCGCTACTGCACGCCCAGGCCGCGCCGCTGCGCACCGAATTGGCCGAGCGGCTCCAGCCTCTGTCCCAGGCCGCCTATGTGGGCGAGGCGCGGCGGAGGCTGGTAAGGGTCCGGCGCCGTCGGCTACGGCTTCGCGACAGGACCCGGGAACGCGAGGCCGAGCGGGAGGCAGAGGCTGCGCAGGCAGCAGACCGCGAACAGGAGATTGACCGCTGGAGGGTCAAGTGCGTGCAGGAGGTGGAGGAGAAGAAGCGGGTGAGAGCGGCAGTCGCGCAACGCGGTAGGGGATGGTGGTGGTTTGGAACCCAGGCTTAGCCTTTTTGTTTATTCGTAAAATTAGAAATAGCTAGCTTTCCACTTCGAACTTCTATATTAATTGCCCATTCGAGATGTATAACACACAAGACAAAAGCCCCACGTGCACTGTCTAGTCCTATAAACATAAATTAGATGATTACACAGTTGCATCGCTGGGAGAACAGGTCACTTGTATCCTGCTGTGAAGTTGTATCCACCCATAAATACTCTTAACAGGTGTTTTGATTCCTGTGTCTTGCACTGCTCTAGGTGGTTATTTTCCCTGGTGCTGGACATTGAGCCCAGGCGCCTTTTACTGAGCTACATCCTCAGCTATTTTTATTTCGAGACAGCTCTTGGAGATTTGCCCAGGCTGGCCTCGAACTTCTGATCCTTCTGCCTCAGCCTTCTGAATAGCTGGGATTATAGGTGTGTGCAGTGGCACCCCCAACCCTAGATGATTTCAAGAACACAAAATTGAAGAACTAGGGGCCCTACCTCCAGGAACACTCACACCTGTCAGGAGCATTTCTACATAAATTTGGGGGGAAAATCGTTTCATAATTAAAGTATGACTACAGCTGTCTAAGGCCCAGTGTTGCCTTGCCCGGGAGCCGGCTATGGCGTGGGGAAACAAGGCCGTTTTGCTTTGGGTTACAGCTGAGGCCTCAAAGGCCTGTAAAGCTGTGGCGCTCAACAGCAAAGATAACACCAGCTGAAGACATCCTGGTTCCTTGAGAAGCCAGTAGCAATACAAAAGAGAAAGGTTTCCCCTGGGGAGGGACAAGTTCCTTATCAGCTCAGCTCAGCTCAGCTCTCCTGAGGTTTGAGAAAGCTCTCCTTTCTGCCCTCATCAGCATGAGGTTTGCGTCGGTAAGGGATCAAACAAGAGATCATTGGACATCCTCCCCAAGTCACCTGATACTCCCTCCAATTACTGTGTGTACCACATAAATAGTGGCTATCTCGGAGAGTCTTTATCTTTGCTCACTCTGAGGCTCTGACTTCCCTCCCGACCCGCATATATTTTGAAATTATGTAAGTCTCTATTGTCTTTTTTTGTTTAGCCCTCACTGTCCCCCTTACTAGGCAGTCAGAGGAAATCGGCCTCTGATACACACCCCTATAACTGGCTCATGGCTGTACGAATAGTGATTTCCCCGAATAGTGATTTCCCCGTGATTTGTCTACTGGTTTTACAGCATATATTTCCAGATTCAGCAGTGGTCTTTTTTTTTTTTTTTTTTATTCTGGGATTGAATTTAGGACCTGTGTTTTCTTTTTTTTCTTTTCTTTTTGTTTTTTTTGGTACCAGGGATCAAACCTTGTGTTTTCGAGGCAGGTGGCAGCACCACTGAGCTAAATCCCCAGCCCCGTGGTTTTTTTTGAATACTTTATATGATACTCCCTAAGGTGTTAGTGAAGCATGCAGAGATCATTTTATAACAACCCTGAGAAACAAGAGGGATTTACCCGTTTTACAGATTAGAAATTGAGTCCTAGAGATTAACTTGCCAACAATTGCACAGCCAGTTTGTAGCAGTTTTACTTCAAATTTAAGCCTGAGTTGGCTGATTCCAAAGACTATTTCAAGATAGGGTCAAGGTGAAACTGGAAGTTGGTGAAATACTTGTTTAAAGCATTCTCATGATTTTAAGTGCTGCTGGGGTTCCCTTCCCTCCTCTGTCTGTTCTCCCCAGTTGCATCTGCTACTGCCCTAGAGCCCTAGAGTCTGATAAACTTTACTGTGAAGTGTATTGATAGCAGGCTTCATCATTGCATCCTCAGGAATGTCATTGCTTTAAAGGAGAATGCCTTGCCAGGGAACTCTGACTCGAGGGAATTTGAATCAGTTCAGCAGATATTTAGTGAGGGCCTATTAGGTGCCAGTCCCAGTGCCTGATACCAAGGGTAGAGTACACAGCTCATGGGTCCTTTGGAGGCTTAGAGCCCAAGAGGGATCATGGTAGTATAGCATGGTGTATGTTAGGATTTCAACTGTAGATGCTCAGAGAACCTAGGGAAGGGATGTAGCATCCCCTGGAGAAAGGTTTCCCTGATGATACACATCTGAGTAGAGCTTTTGGTTTTTTTTGGTACCGGGGATCGAACTCGGGTCCTTGTTCTTGCACAGCAGTCGGCGAAACCACTGAGCTAAATCCCTGGCCCTCTGAGTAGAGCTTTGAAAGAAGTGTTAAAGCCCGGTGAGAGCAACAGATGCAGCCCCAATCCAAGTTGAAGAGTGAAAGTGTGCTGTTGGTGCTAATGATGGAAGTATACGCAGAGAGAACTTCAACTGAGAGGATGAGGATATTGGAGATAGAATCCCATGAGGGATGATTTACTGTACATGTGAGCCAACTCCAGAAGAGTAGTGTCATAGTCCTCAAATGTTTGGAAGCTCGCCATGTGCAAGAGGTTCTGGGAACTTTGGCTGGGTATGGTGGTGCATGCCTGTAATCCCAGCTCTTGGGAGGATCACTGTGGGATTGAGGCCAGCCTGGGCTACATAGTGAAGTCAAGGCCAGCCTGGAAGACATAGCGAGACCCTGTCTAAAAAAAAAGAGGTTCTGGGGACTTTAGAGCAATGTAGCAGACTGCATAGGTTTTCACATAGAGTCCCATTTCTCTTCTTCTCCCGGAGCCTGATTTTCATGTTGATAAGTCTGCATTTTTAACAAGCAGGCCCCAACTTAACAAGGTAAGATGGGCATAGATACTCCCTGGACCACACTGTGAGAAACCCCAAGAGAAGCAAAATCCTGCATGGAAGCTGCAGAGAGCTTTTCCTTTCAGAAGGGTGAGCAGTCAGTATAGGGGGATAAGCCCTTGGCAGTGCCCTTGAGAGGGGTGTTGTGCCAGGCCTCAGAAACTGGGGTGTAGATTCATTAGAGTCTCAGCCTTGGGACTGCCTCATCCTCCGAAATCTCACTGCTGGGCGGCTACGAGCTCTGCTGTAGGCTTGTTACTAATACACGGTCTCGTGGGCTCTGTTTCTCCTCCAGGAACAGGAACTCAAAGCTGCTGCTGATGGTGTCTTATCTGAAGTGAGGAAAAAACAAGCAGACACCAAAAGAATGGTAGATATTCTTCGAGCCTTGGAGAAATTGAGGAAATTGAGAAAAGAGGCTGCAGCAAGAAAAGGTAACTATGGCTTTGGATTTCTGTTTACATTTCCTCCCTTTTCCCTCCTGTTGTTTATCCTGATGCCTCCCAACTCCAAATATTTTTGAAAGAAAAGTAATATGTCATTTTTTGGAGATAGGGTCTCACTCTGTAATTCAGGCTGGCCTGGAACTCACCATGTAGCCCAGGCTGGCTTTCAATTTGCAGAGGTCTTCCTGCCTCACCTTCCTGAGTGCTGGGATTACAGGTGTCCACTGCTGTGCCCTCCTTATCTTCACTCTTAGAGTAACTGAACTTGTCAGTGGTAACTTAGAACTTTTGAAGTAGAAAGCTTCAGAAGATTTTTATCCTTAGGTAGCCAAAGTTGAAAAGAGCCAGAGCCAGGTATGGTAGAACATGCCTGTAATCCCAGCACTCTTCCAGGAGAAGGCAGGATCACAGGTTTGCCTTTAGCCTGGGCAACTTAACAATTTAAAAGGGCTGGAGATGTAGATCAGTGCAAAGGCCCTGGGTTCAATCCCCAGTATTGTGATAAATAGACAGATACAGACAGACAGCTAAAGGAAGGGAGAGAGGGAGGGAACAGGAGCAGGTTTGGGAGCCCAATGCAGTGTCCAAGCTAAGCGTTCTTGCCTCTTATTTTTTTTGTTTTTGGCACCAGGGATCGAATTTGGGACCTTGTGCTTTCGAGGCAGGCAGCGGCACCACTGAGCTAAATCCCCAGCCCCTGTCCAAGCATTCTTTTTTTTTTCTGTCCAACCGTTCTTGGTCACAGTTTTCTAATTAGGCTGGCTATGGCTCATCACTTTTGCCACGTGACAAACAAAGATTGCCTGTCCTTGCTGCTCTAGAAAGTGGTTGAAAACTTGTCATGCTCCTTCTGATGCATTTAAATCAAGCCCAAAGCATAGCTATTTGAAGAGATATGAATGATGGGACAGGGTAGAGAGTACCTGCATGTACCATTCGTTCATTCATTCATTCATTTTGCACTGCTGGGGAACTCTGGGCTTTCTCACCGAGCTACATCCTTAGCCCATTTTTTATTTTGGGACCAGGTCTTACCAAGTCATGAAATTACCCAGGCGGGGGTTAAACTTGTGATCCTCCTACCTCAGCCTCCCAAAGTGCTAGGATTACTGGGCTGCACCACCATGCTGGGTTGCATGTCACTTTTAGACTCAGGAGACCTCAGTGGTCTCTTCTTGCCCATTCGTGCTTTCCATTTGCCTGTCTCAGTCTTTCTCTTGCTGGGCTTTCATTTGAGGGCCCTCAGTCTCACTTTGTTATGTTAAGATCTCATTATCCATCAAAATCAAATACACATGCAGTCTCTTCCATCCTTCCTGCTTGGGCTGAGGTGACCTGCCACTCCTTTGCAGTGGTACCTCATGTGTCCCATATCCTGCCTTATCTAGTAGCTGGTAGGGCTTTGACATTCAGCAGAGAGATTTGAGAGCAAGTGCTACTATACCAAATGATCTCCCTTGTGTGGTTTAAAATATAAATAAAAACAATTCTTTTAGACCCTTAAAGTTTTGCTGGACATGACCACTGTACTGAGGCAGGCTCATTTACTGGTTTCAGCATGCAGCAGTAGTGGCCAGTTCACATTCAGAGGTCAGAATCAGATGACGCCACTGTTGTTCTTTTAGAGCACTTGTAAGTCAGAGGGGAGTCAGCATCTGCTTCTCTCTTTCTTACTAGGAAGCAAAACATGAAGCCTACTCTTTTTTTCAGTGATGGGGGCTGAACCCAGAGTCTGAGGCATGCTAGGCAAATGCTCTGAACCACTGAACTAGATCCCCAGCCTAAGGGCTACTCTAATACTCCCCACCCCATAGCCTGCATAAGGTGAGTAATTCACTTGGTAAACTGCCAAGTGAATTTACCAACATGCATTCTCAGTATAAATGTCTTCCTCACTTCAATTCGAAAAGAAGAAATTTCTGGTCATTAAAAATAAGTGGCCTCAGGCTGGGGATTTAGCTCAGTGGTTCTGGCACCTGCCTCACAAGTGCAGGGTCCTGAGTTCAATCCCCGTAACAACAGCAACAAAAAAGCCTCTGGGGTGTTGACGTGAGTGTAAAATCATTGGGTACCTAGCAGCTGGTTGTATTGTGTAGTTAAAAGCAAGTAGCTTTCTGACTTCTCTCTTAAAAGTTGTGTGTACCTCTAAATAACCTGGGAGATGTAAGCAGGGCTACATCCCAAATTGTCTCATGGGCCAGGCCAGAGTTCTCACCTGCACTTAAAGCTGGGGGAAATACTGGAAGATGCTAAGCAGAGAATGAAGTGATGACAAAGAGCAGTGCTGGCAGAGCAGGGAAAGATTGGGGGCATCTAGGCAGCGAGGAGAAGAGGAGAGAGACTGGGAAGTCTGTTGCATTCTGGCAGGGAGAGTATGGTAGTATGAACTAAGTGCATTGGAGAACAGAAAAGGAACTTGAGATAGTGACTGTATGAATGTGTGTGCACATGTAAATAGATAACTCAGGGATGCATCATGTGGGAGCCACAGTTACAAAATGACGTGTGAGTTTCTAGCCTGGTCTGCTGAATGAGTGATGAAACCATTCCAATCGAGAGGGCAAATAGAAACAGGCCTGAGGTTGGTGGGTTCAGTTTGGGGCATGTTGAGTTTGTGGAGATGTGGTACATACTGGGTCACCACGTAGCCCTGAGTCAGAATGACCTAAGGGAGGTTGTATGGCATGAGATGAGGGCCAGAAAGACGAAGTCCTAGAGAATGTCAGAATCAAGGTAGGTAAAGAGGAGACCGCAAAACAGACCCAAAGAGGTCAGAGACAGGAGGAAAAGGTGGTCTCCTTGAAGAAATAGGCTCCTTACCTCCTCCTGGAAAGTGGCAAGTGCTTAGAGTGATTATTTAATCTTGGGTAGATCATTTAACTTATGTGTCCTGGTTTCCTCTTCTGCAAAAGGGGAATACTGATAGCACCTACCTATGAGTCTTGAGAGGAGTAAATTAGTAACAGTGCGTTACAAATAGTAGACATTATTGAAGTGCTTCAAGTTGTTTTCTTTTTCCTACCAAGTAATACAAAGGCTAAGAAACACCTGTGGGAATTAGTACCCAACCAGTCATTAGTGACATCTGCCAGGGCCATTTCAGTGGGGGAGGGGAGTTGAAGCTGGATCAGAAGAGGTTAGAGAGTGAAGGGAGATAAGGCAAGCAGTGAATTCAGTTTATTAAAAGATTGCTTACGGTGAAAAGGAGTGAGAATGAGATCATTACTGGGCTATGTGTGTGGTGTTGGCGGTGATGTGTGACTTAGGGTCCCGGGAGAACCTGGGGGTGTTTAAATGCTAAGTGAAGGAGGGAGTAGGAGGGGAAGGGTCAAGAGAGAAGTGGCCAGATAATGGTGGCCCCAGCTCTCCTGGAAGGTATGGAGATTCAGCTCCAAGGTGGAGGACTTGTAAGTAGAGAAGTACCCATCTTCCTCGGGCGTGAAAGTAGAGGCAAGGATGGGGAGGGAGGCAGCTGGGTGCAGAGTTTGAGGGGCTTCCTGCTTGCCATTGTGTTTTGGGGAAGTAGGTTGGATGGGTTTTAGGAGAGCAATGATGTTTGATGACTGTTTGAAATAAGGGGCATGAGGCATGGGCAAGAGCCAGCCAGAGACCCATGGAAGATGCTTGGTGGGAGGGGCTTTGGAGCAGCTGACAAACTTAATTATTGGCACCAGGTCCCACAATCAAGGGACTTCTTCGAGGAGTATGTGCTGCGGCTAGGGAAGCCCAGAGCGTGGAGCTATTGAGGTTTTTTATGGAGTAGCCACAAGTTTTTGGAGAGAAAAAATGGGAGAAGGATGGAAACATGGATATCTCCGGTCTGGAGGTTTTGGTGAAGCTGACAAGTCTGGGGAGGGGGAGTCTGTTGAGAGGGCAGAAAGTGGTAGTCAGAGAAGAGAATAACCAGGCATAAGCTGCAGAGGTGGAAAGGTTTTTCTGATCATTAAAGTCTGTACTGGACCAGGCCCAAGGGTGTGTTTGGCTGAGGGCGAAAGGAAGAGCGTGGGAGAGGTGGAGGGAACTGAGGTGACACCTGTCCATGGGGAAAGCAAGACGAGGAGTGCCATTCCCCAGGGACTGTGTCAGGGTACCCGGGGAGTCACCAGGGAGGGCTTGAGGGGAAGTGTGAATGGGACCCAGACAGCAGGCTAAGGGGTGAAGCAGCCCACTGCTCCTCAGGGGCCTGAAGGCTCTCATGGGCTGATGGAGGGCCTTGACTTTTTACTAAACCAGGAGATTTTAATAGCAGCAGACTATATGACTTGTAAAACCTATAATATTTCCTATCTGGCCCTTTACAGAAAACAATAAAAGAAATGAAACAAAACCATAAAATTATTACAAAACAACATAGTGGCAGTTTCCATTTGAACTTGGAAAATATTAGCCTGGCAACTTAGTAGAAAGTGAATTTGATTTGTAGAGTTTTCATAATTGAGAATGAGTGAATGTAAATCTGTTCAAGCAAAGAGGTAAGAATATGATCTGGAAAAGTGTTAGCCCTGAAAGAGGAGATGGAGAAAGAAATCCACAACTACATAGCTAGTAGTTGAGGGGGAGGAAACAAAATCACACTTCCAAATTAAAGCTTACAAGAGGCAAATCTACTAAATTTAAGGGACAGTTATTGTAGGGGACTTACCAGCCAGAATTAAAATTTTAATGTTCAAAGTTGGCAAGATCATACTTCATAGGTGGCTACATAAATTGCTAAAGCCCTGTTAAGATTATTCGTTCAGCAAAGAAATACTTACTATTTATCTTTGTGTCAGGTGTTAAGTTACTGAGTAAATGTGTGGCTTTTTTAGGAAGCAGTTTATTACCATATTCCTGTAGTCTTGAAAGTAGCATAAACATTTCCACTCTTGAGAATTTACTTGCTAGAAATGATGCATAGGAAGGAAAAAGTAACATGCCTGAAAATATTCCACTGTAGCATTGTATTATAATGGTGTTGGAGTCACAGAAAGGTCCAGGAGTAGGAAGCTTGTTAAGTACATTATGATACATTGATTTGTTGAAATTGAATAGAGACATTAACTATGCAGACTGGAGAAGAACGTGGAGATTGAACATGGCCATATAGAAATTACATACACACTGTTTTGAACTATAGGAACTTGTTAAATGTGGGCACAGAGCTGGGTGTGGTGTAATCTGTAATCTCAGCACTTGGGAGGCTTAGGTAGGATGAACGCTGTGAGTTCAAGGCCAACCTGGGCTGCATAGTGAGTTAAAAACCAGCCTGAAGTACACAGTGAGACCCTGTCTCAAACAAGGAGGAAAAAACCAAACAAACACACAGAAGGAGGGAAGGCAGGCAGGCAGAAAGACTTAAAGGAAACATGAAGAGTTAAAGGTTGATTATAGTAGGGCAATGGGATTTTTTTTTTTTTATTATTCCTTGTATCTGGTATTACAGTGCTTTGGCAAAAAATCCATTTTTCTTTAAACTCTTCGTACACTAACAGGATGACACCCACCACTCAGCATTGTTTCACCAGGCAGCTTCAGCAGCTGTCCTATTGCAGAGCCTTTGCGGTAGTGAACACAATTGCAGTCCATCCAGTGAAGTCTTTTTTGCCTTAAAATTTTTTTTTTTTCTTGATTGAGAAGTCTTTCTCCTTTATACTGACTCTGTGTGCTGCAGCACAGGCCCTGTTAAAATAAAAACTCACTTTGGTGTTCCTGTTTAAAAAAAAAAAAATACATACATATATATATATGAAACTTTATTTAAAATTTCACACATGCACCAAAATAGAAAGCTTAATGAGAACACTTAATGTACTTATCATCAGCTACGAATGATGTCCTTATCACACCAAAAAAAAAGAAAAGGCAGTAATTCCTTGATATTATCTAATGTGTAAACAAATTTTCCCAGTTGTGGCTTTAACTGTGTTGTCTGTGTTATTAGCTGATCTCAAAGTTAAGTCGCCCTGGTTTTCCTGTGACTGAGAGGGCCCAAGATTTTTAATGCTAAAAGCAGGCAAACCAAAACAGCTGGTCATCCCATTCTCCCCAGTAGACTGTGAGGTCAGTGCTCTGGGTTATGTGAGTCTTGTCCCTCAGGAGGTCTGTGCTCCCAGAATGCACCCCTCAGAGGGACAGCTGTCTGATGGACCTGCAGTTGATGATGAGCGAATTCATGAACATGAATTAAGTTAAGACAAGTGCCTCCCTTTAGTAAGCGCTCAGTCCAGATGGACGATCAGACCCAAAGGCTCAATGGTGTGATCCAGGGAGAGAGAGGCCTTTAGGGTAGGTTCAGTGTAACTGGAGATTGAGAAAGATCAAATTGAGCCTTGAAAGTGAGGTAGAATTTACAAATTCTAAGCAAACTCTTGCTGTAGGTAGGACATTGAGACTGCTCATTAGAATACGGATTGTGGAGTAAGAAAAAAGTTGTATCTGAAATGCCACTGGTTCTTTTTGCCCAGGGGTCTGTCCTCCGGCCTCAGCAGATGAGACTTTCGAGCACCATCTTCAGCGACTAAGGAAGCTCATTAAAAAACGCTCTGAACTGTATGAAGCGGAAGAGAGGGCCCTCAGAGTGATGCTGGAAGGAGAACAAGAAGAAGAGAGGAAAAGAGAATTGGAAAAGAAACAGAGAAAAGAAAAAGAGAAATTTTTACTTCAGAAACGTGAAATTGAATCCAAGTTATTTGGAGATCCTGGTAAATTCCTATGTATTTAGTGGAGAAAAGGAAAATATTAAATTGGCAGTGCTACATCATGGGAGATCACATCTTAATCAAGAGGTGGAGGGAACAAATGACATCTTCTGATTGGCAATTCTAGACCATTGGTGGTGAATCAATGGCACATGTGTTGCAGTTGGCCGTTTATTATCATTGAAGCTCTAAAAGGTTTGCCATCACTGTTCTAAACTGTTATCATGGAAGACATGGATACAAACAAAATACCGTTAGGGCTGGGGATGTAGCTCAGTGATAGAGTACTTGCCTAGTATGGAAAGGTCCTGGGTTCCATCCTCAGTACCAGGAAAAAACAACAAACAGACAAAAACCATATTTGATCATATTGTCATAATCATGGGCCCAGCCACTTTTCTTTGAGAAATACACTGCCCATAACAAGCATGATGACATGGTACTGTGCCTTTTCTCTTTCAGATGAGTTCCCCCTTGCTCACCTCCTGCAGCCTTTCCGACAGTATTACCTCCAGGCTGAGCACTCTGTGCCAGCTCTCATCCAGATAAGGTCAGAGGGCCAGGATCTTCCTGTCGCCTTTCTCTTGGGTAGCAAGAAGTACTTGATGAGGCGCTTACTTGTTGAGGTCGGTTAATGTATCTCTTCAAAAAGTTCCCCATGGGTTCATGATGTTGCCAAGTCTCAAGGCTGCCAGGCATTCTTGTTTAGTCCTCCTCATGCTTCAGAAAAAGCTTTCTCCATTTTAATAGTCGAAGGAGCTGAAACTCAGGTTGTGACTTGCCCTTTTGTGTAGCCCTCATGTTGACTTGCAAGCATTGCCTTTATTTTTCTAATTGTCTTCTGGTGCTAAACACACCCAAGAAGAGAAACCCTCCCAAGTATGTGCCAGTGGAGACTGTTAAGACCCAGGCTCACTTCCAAGCTCCTATGGGTCACACCCCAGAGAGTGGGAACAAGGGTCTCATCGGAGTCATCAGTTACTGTGGAGCCAGGTGTTTTTCAGCTCCTCAAAATGAGAGAGCAGACTGAATATAGCCTCAGGCTCTGGCAGCAGTGCTCTTCCCACTGCAGTCTCTTGAGAAATCAGTTGGTAAAACACATATAATGAGTGGCTTCCCCAAGGTAGATTAAGTTTGTTGTTAGTTAGAAGCACTTTGTTGTTTTACAGACTTCCTAAAACATCTTAGGGTCTAGGGGCATTTTCAAAGTGTGATTTGAAAAATCACCAAATGATCACTGAGGTCCCTTCCCAAAGGGCTAACAATTTATGATTCTCATGAAAGAATGCTGTTTAGCATACCAAGTGTATTTCCTGGAAAGAGTTGATCAGTGTAGAAGTTTTAGCTTTGAAATGTTAATACAGTCAGTTCTCATTATTCACACTACTTGTGTTCTGCGAGTCACTGCGAAGGCTGTATAACAATACTGAACTGTTGGTTCTAATGGAAAACACAGACTTAGATAGATTTCTGAGAACCTCTGTTAATTCACAACATTTTTATCAGCTGAGCAGTACCTTGTTTCATATGTATTTCTGTTTCAAGGCACTTTATTTAATATACATTGTTGACTCACAGCATTGACCTCAGGGCTAACAACACTGCCTGAATGAAGCTTATCTGGCACATGTATTTTCTCTACAAGGCACGTCACAGCTCTGGGACACTTAATACCATGACCCTTCGTGGCCATTTGAAACAGCAAAATCTTTGGTGAAACCACAGACATGTGCAAAACAAGGCTCTAAATACCCCACAAAAACGACACTTATTTCCAGTGTGAGAGCTGAAAACAAGGCACAGTGAGGGTCACCTCGTTTGATCTCAGCTAAGAATGTGTATTTAGTGACTCAGATTTTTTTTGCCATTGTTTGTATCTTAAAAGTATCCATGAAATCCCCACAAGTGATGATTTAGGGGCTACAATTACATTTTAGTGAGTAGGCAGATTTGCAAATACAGAACCTGAAAATAATGAGGATAAACTATGTTACTGAGTTATCCATAAGATTTTGTAAGTTCTTCAGAATTTTTTTCCCCGAAATGTGAGCTTTCGCATAATTCCTAAAAATCAAGTTTTGTAGTAAGTTAGCATATCAATCATTTGAAAGCTAACTTCTAGGAATAGAGTATTTAGTTGCTGAGCATCTTGCTTGGAAAAAAGTGGAAATAAACCGTTCCTCTATAATGTTCTTGTTAAGGCATGATTGGGATCAGTTCCTGGTGCCAGCTGACCATCCCAAAGGCAGCTCTGTTCCCCAAGGATGGGTCCTTCCCGCGCTCCCCAGCAGCGACATCTGGGCATCTGCCGTTAAGCTGCAATAGGATGGAAGCTCCAGACGTGTGGTCCCACCAGCGCGCTCTCCAGCTCTGAGGATTAGTGATGCTGCCTTCTGTGCTGTGCACTGCACCTCAACTTCTAAACACCGTGTGGTGTGGCTGTAGCCTGAAGTTATACTTTCTTCTGCTCTGTCCTGGCCGGGGTGCCTCTTGAATCAGGAGATTGATGTGATTCTTTAGGAAAGGACCGAGGTGAACCGAGGTTATTACCATAGGTGGTGGCTTTGGTTCAACAAATTTGTCTCTGTTCTGAGAGGCTTGGTCCTGAGTGACTTGCTGATTTACCCTACCTTCCTTGTGTGTTGATGGGTAAGTACTCTCAATACACTCGGATACTCAGTAACATGTGCACTAGGTAGGCTTGGAAGCCCTTTCCCCCAATATTGAATGTAAGGGCAAGCTTGGTGTGAAACCTCTGTACCTTCCGACGCAGAGGGTCGTCTGACTCCCAGGAGTAAAGGCCAAAAATTTGACCTCCATTTTTGTTAATTCCAATTTTGGTGCAGCTTGCAAGACTTGTAGTTAAGAAGATTGCAGTGGCTGCAGTCCAGGCTGACAAGAGATGAAGGCCTAGCCTTATGGAGAACTTAGAAAACCTTAAAAGTACCTGAACCCACACTGCGTCATGTTTCAGTGTTCCTCATTTCCCCATCCTAATGCAGTCACCTGTTATTGAAGTTCCTAGGGGTCTGGTTGTTCAGGATCTCCAAGGACAGAAGTTTATTTCCCTGTGGGATGTGGGACCTTCCTTGACCTCACTCAGTCATGGTAGGAGCTGGTATAGCCAGGAATTTTTAAGGAACTCAAGGTTACAAAAACATCCATGTAGTCAAAGTTAGGAAAAAGCAAATAAAAATGATAAAATTTATTTTTAATATTCACTAATAAATGCTGTTGTGCTCAGTCATTGTCAGCTTTTCATTTTGTTTTGGCTTTTACTGATTATTTTGTTATTTAATTTCCAAAAAACTAAATAGCATTTTTATTTTCTAGTTTTGAGAGTTTGCCCCAGTTTGTTGCCTCTCAAAACATTTGGCACATTTCACTTTCTTATTTCTGAAACATTTTTCACTCCAAATCCAAATTTATTAAACAGGCATTTGCCACAGGACAGTGACTCTTAAACATCAAACTTTGTCTGCAGAATCTGACTGTGGGTAAGCAAGGAAGGACACCATCAGCTTGTCACTGGAAGCCGTTCCCTGCAAGATCCTGATGCTTCTGTCCCTTTTCTATTTGATTTGCCTTGTTTAATCTCTCCGTTATGCATCACAGGGTTAACAGGGAATGAGGGTCCCAAAATGTGTCTAAGCTCACAAACCATAAGTTGGATGTGATTAGTCTCTCAGTCTCACAGTCCTTTGTGCCTTTTTTGTTTAAAATCCCCACCATTTGCTCTGATGAGATGCAGGAAGAGACGAATAAGAGATGACTTGTACAGTGTACCTTTGGTGTCTGGGCAGCCTTGCTACAAAGACATCTGCATTGACAGAGGCAGAGACTCAGGAAAACTCAGGCAACAGAGACCAAGCAGAAGGTGACATTTAGCTGTGGGTGGACAACTAGTCCTTTCCTCTCATTTTACTTTCAGGGGATTTTTCTAAAGTAAACATTATTTATATTAGGTTTTTGCTTTATTGCCTGTGTGTTGGAGTGGCAACAGCCCCTATTCTTTTACAAGTTTAGAGAAAATAGAATCTTGAATGAATTTTAAGAATATGAGTGGTGGTGTTATAAATATCTTGTCCCACAGTCTTTTTTTTTTTTAAGCTTAACTATGGAAAATCTCTACTGTATCCAAAAGTAATAATGATAGTAAGCCATGATAGCACATGCCTTTAATCCCAACATTCTGGGAAGCTGAGGCAGGAGGATTGCAAGTTTGAGGCATGCCTGGGCTACATACATAGTGAGACTCTGTCTTAAAAAAATAGTATAACAATTTTTTCCATATACCTATCATCCAGCTTCAAACAACTCATTGCCAATCATATTTCATCTATATCTCCACAATTTACCCTGGATTTTTTTTGGGGGGGGGCGGGTGGTGGTACTGGGGATTGAACTCAGGACCTTGTGCTTTCAAGGCAGGTGGCACAACCACTGAGCTAAGTTCCCGGCCCTACCCTGGATTATTTTGAAGGAAATCCCAGATAGCAATTTACTTCACCCAAGAATATTTCATTATGCAGTCTTAAACTTTTAAATTTAGCCACAATACCATTACTGCATGTGAAGAAATGAATAATGACTCCCTAATACCAAAATTACTCCATGTGTTCAGACTTCCTTTTAATCCATTTTACATTCTGTTCAAACACAACCTGTGCATTGTTGGTTGTTACATATCTTCTCTGATAATCTAGTTTCCCGCCCCCTATGATGCGCTGTCATGCTTGCTTTCTTGAAGAAATTGCATCATTTTCTCCCTGAGTCTGGTGGATAGTCTCCAGTTTCCCAATTGCATGCTACCATACCAGGCCCTCCCTGTCCCTATATTTCCTATAATTCAGTGGGTAGATAGTGCTGTGAGTCCAATATGGTAGTCACAGCTGATAAGCACTTGAAATGTAAGTAGCTTCAATTAAGATAGGCATGACACATGGCTCACATGTTTCTCGGGTAGCACTGATCTAAAGGCTTGTTCACATTTAGATTGGAATTTTATGGAAAGATGCTTTATAGATGTGGTATGTATGTCCATTTTGGGGGCCACTCTCTTTTTAGGGTGTGTGTGTGTGTTGGGGATCAAATCCAGGGCTTCACACACCGTAGGCAAGTACTCTACCATGGATCCACACCCCCAGCCCAGTGCTTATCTCCTTATGATATGAGAATCCACTAATACTCAAAACCCAGATTCATTAATTCACTAGGGGTTGAAAAATAGTGATAATTGTATTATTCTTTCTTCATTTATTAGCTGGAATCCTTTTTTTTTTTTTTTTTGGTACCAGAGATCAAACTTGGGTCCTTCCGCTTGCAAGGCAGGAGGCCACTGAGCTAAGTCCCTGCCCCTAGCTGGAATACTTCTAAAAAGAGAAATTTCCCCTTATCAATTATTTGGTTATCCTTGGGTACAGTTTGTATAGGAGAGCAAGAGATAAATAATTCCTTTTATTTACTAGTTTTCAAAAGTAATGAGCTTGGGGCCAGGGATTTAGCTCAGTGGTTCCGCCGCCTGCCTTGCAAGTGGGAGGGCCCGAGTTCAATATCCTGTACCAAAAAACAAAACAAAACAAAAACAATGAGCTGGTTCCCTACCATCCCTCAAAGGTGGCCGATGGCTTTTGCTTTTAAATCTCATTATAAACTTTGCATCTAAGCATTTTTCTTTCAGCCCCTTTTCTTTCCTGATTGTCCCATTTTTGGCCAGTAGGGGTCTCTTCAGCTCAGCTCCTGAGTTCCCAGATACTCCCAGAATTCTGTTCTAAATTTATCTTGTGGATTTGCTGCCCCAGTCCCGGAATCAGGCGTTTTTTAGCGGCAGCGAGCCCTGTTTCTCTTCAGAGGAAGAGCTATTTACAGGCCACAACCTGCGTATTAGAGGTGTTTGTTTTTACTGCTGCTTCTTGGTGGTTCTTTCTTATTCTTCAGCCCATTTCTAAATCATGTCCTTTTTATAAAACTGTTACCTAAATTTCTCCATATACTGAACATGAATGGAGCAAATAAAATTCACACTAACCAGAAATATACCAAATTATTTGCTGACTCGTTGCATCCTATATGCAAGAATACTCATTTTCCAGGAAAGGAGGCCTGGAGCTGTGAAAAACTTAACAAAAGCATTCATTTTTAAAAAAGAAATTTGATAAAATGGAAGAATATAAATCTATAAGAGAGATTAATGGTATGTTAAATACTAAAAATATTTTCCTCCCAACTGGTTGAGTTTATGATGTCGAAGAATTTGCTCCAACAGGCTAACCAAATTAATCGCCCTAACACCATTCACATTTCCATATGCATGTGACTTCTGTAACAAGAGGCTTAGCTGGGATTATTCCATCTGACATAGCCATTCACTTCTGAATGTTTTGTTCACAGAGAAGATCTGGGAATTGCAAGGTAAGTACAAAGTACATCTTGTTCCATTTAAATAAGTAGGATATGCAATAGATAAAAAGAATATGAGATTAAATGAGATATTTCCAAATAATTCTTTAAAAGTTTAGAGCCAACAAATTATTCTTACATAATGAGCTGTTTAGCTTTGTGTGTATCCATGCAGTGGTCCCCGACTTGGCACATCTGGCCATCTATAAAGAATTTATTTCCAATGCAGATTCCATTTGCTTTTTGGAATAAACTGTTTCTCACGGTCTCTGAAGCAGAGATTGAAGTCTTTGAGGTGTTAGGATGTGTAACTATGCAGAACAGCAGACTTTTCTCAGCTTTATTCATGGTTTCTAGAATCAGGATTTGGGAGGTAATTTTTCATTTTTCAATTTCCAGGTACTGCATTAGGTGCTGAGGACAAGCAGACAGGATTCCTGCCTTCCTGGAGTTTGAAGTAGAGGAGTTTCATGATTATACAGATAATTAGAATCATTATTTATAGCTACGATAGTACTATAAGGAAAAGTACATAATAATTTGTATTTTTCATTATCAAAAGTTTTAAAGTACCTATTGAGGGTAACAAAATATTCCATAACCTAACAATACTGGTTATGACAAGAGGTGTTAATCCAAAAATCATCTGAGAATGTACAGAGGAGCTGGGCATGGTGGTGCACACTTATAATCCCAGCACTCGAGGGCTGGGGATTTACCTCAGTGGCACCGCACCTGCTTTGCAAGCACAAGGACCTGAGTTTGATCCCCGGTACTGAAAAGAAAAAAAAAAAATCCCAGCACTCAGGAGGTTGAGATGAGAGGACTATAAATTTGAGGATAGCCCAAGTACTTTATAGGAATGGTTCTATGAGATTATGAAGTAGGAACTTTTTCTTTCAAACATGATTCTAAAATGTGATTAGGTGAAATAATAGGAAATAATGTCATGTTGTAAGGGTAAAAATTATTTCAAGTTACGGGAATTTAGCTCAGTAGTACTGTGCCTGCCTTGCAAGCACAAGGTCCTGAATTCAATCCCGGTACCAAAAAAAAAAAAAAAAATTCCAAGCTGGATATAGTGGTCCATGGTTATAATCCCAGCTACTTGGAAGGTTGAACCAGGGTAATTGCAAGTTTAAGGCCAGTTCCGGCAACTCTACGAGACCCTATCCAAAAAAAAAGGAGTTGGAGTAGCTCAGTGGTAGAGTGCTTGCCAGCCATGCTTGAGGCCCTGGGTCCAAGCCCCAGTACCTGGGAGGAGCAGAATGATTATTCCATCTACATAGGTATATGCTAGTTCACAAAATAT